GGACCGATCAGACGAGACTGGATTAGTCGGCACACTTAGAGTAAGTAGTACAGTTGAGGTGGGAAGGTAAATAAAGAGTCAGCGGAGACGGATGGGTTGGGATGCAAGAGGCTACATGAATATAAGGTATGCAAGTCAGGCAGGCTCGCAATGGGAGAGAAGTTGTGTGATGGTGATACAGAGCCTAAAACTACATTTCGCTAGTTAGGAAGCAGTCAAAGAGGATAATAGGGCAGGGCTCTGAGAGCTCGCTATGCGGATGAAGAAGAAATAAAGACAGGCCGCGATAAGGAGAGGACAGAGTTGAGAGTTTACGTTTACGGATATGAAATGCGACAGTTAACGAGGCTCTAGAGGTAATGGTGACAGAGCATTCAGTCTTCCGAGCATAGCAGGCAGCGTCGCAGAAGTAGGAGAGAAGAGGACCGATCTGCCAAGGTTGGACTTGGTCGGCGCATTGTGATTGAGTCCTATGGTTCATTTGGGAAGGTAAGTGGAGTCAGTAGGATCGGACTGGTCAGAGATAAAAGTGGTTATATCAACATAGGGCGAACAAGTTCAGCAGGATATCAAGGTGAGGGAGGAAGTGCTTTGGATCGACGGAGCCTAGACCGCTAACATCCCGGTAGCCTGGTAGCAGTCCCATAGAATTTGGCTGATCAGCTGAGGCTGAGTTACGGATGACAGAGACTCAATCGTCCGATTGAAGAATGATTGGATACGAACGGCGCTCAGTCATCTGAACGATGGCTAGTAATGTCACAGGAGTCTGAGAGAAGTTGGAAAGCAGGAGACCAAACAGACGAGACAGGATTAGTCGGCGAAACGACATTGAGTCCAACAGCTAATTTTAGGAGGGCAAATGGAGTGGGTCGAGAGGTGGAGGTGACTATATAAATAGAGGGTGAACAAGTCTAGCAGGCTGTCAACGTAAGTGCGATATAGCTTGAGTCTACAGAGTCTAGACCGTTTAAATGTTGCTGGTCTGGAAAGGGTCAAAGAAGCAGACCGGTCAGATGAGACTAGGTTATTACAGGGCACATAGTTGGCAGTCCGATTAGAGAAGGTTTGAAAGTAGAGAACGTCATAAGGAGACGGTCCGGATAGGGAGAGGTTTACTTATAAGGTGTGGAAAAGTCCATGGGGCTCGAGAGGTAATGGGGACAGAGCGTTCGCACTTCTCATTCAATGCCGGTAACGCA